GTTTCTGGAGGGGAGAGGGGTGGTGGGATGGGGTAACTGGGTGATGGACATTAAGGAGGGCACATGATATAATGAGCACTGGGTATTATATAAGACTGATGATTTGCTGAATTCTACTTCTGAAACTAATAATACACTATATGTTAATTGAATTTAAATTAAAAAATAAAACTAATTATACAGGTTGTATTTTAGGTGAACTCAGGCACAGCAATTTCTCTCTGTGTGTCTGTGTCTGTGTGTGGGGGGGTGGGGGTGGCATCTATGAAGAGTAATCCAGGAAGGATAAACAGTAACAGGTAGAAAAGTGCTGGTCTAATGGTGCCTAGATGGCCATTGGGGTGTCCTTTCTGGACTCTGGAAGTTGCAGATATCTCCCATTAATATAAGCTAGAGGGTCAAGAGTATGGATCCCCTCAGCTAACTCGATTATAGATCTCTCCATGAGGCTAGGAAGATGTGCTTGAGCTGATATGGCCAGGGCAGAATAGTCTGTTCTGTAATTTTGCAAAACACAAGATAGTCAGTGGCTTATCACCTGGTCCTTTTCCACCTCAGCTGGATGGCTGGTCAGTTTTCCAAGGGTGCTTATTCTTCTGAAGCCCAGGTGTCGGCTGGGAGGGTGTAACCAACATCACTATTCAAATCTCATGGGGCCAAGATGATAGGTACCAGAATCACATGATTTTCATGTTACAGAAGAAGCAACAATACTAATCCATTAAGAGAATTCTGGGTGTTGGAGGCCTCTAGGGATCCCCAACCACAAACCCCTCAAAGATTCTGCCCTGAGTCCAAAGGCCTTGAACGGATGTCTCCTGAGTTTCTGCCTTCCAAGCTGTCTTCCCCTTTCTTCTTGCACTTCTCATAAAAAAATGGGAATAAGCACATCTTCCCAGCTCATTTTTCAAGACTAAGATGAAGGCAGGAAACTTTTGTCCAAGTTATCATGAGTTGGGGGCTTTGCATCACACTGTGAAAGATACAATGAAAGAGCTCCCCTGGTTACATTACAAGAATAGTGGAATACCATGTTTTGATCCTAGAAGCTTGTTGAAAAATGGCCTTTTAAAGACGAAAGCAAGCCTACTTAGTGGAAAGGAGAGTAGAATAAAGAGTTATTTGGATGTGAAGAAAATAAAAGGCTTTAGAACAACTGAAGGAAAGATGTATTGGAGTGAACAGTGAATAAAATATTAGGGAAAGAAAAGGAGTGGAGGTGACCATTAGTAACAGTTAAAGTAGAAAAAGATAAGTCATTGAGAATTGAGGAGAAAGATGAAAAAGGATAAAAGGAAATATTACTATCTGAACAAAGAGCAGGAAGCTGTGGACAGAATAAACATTTTCTATAGCCTGCTAAAAGCTGAACCCAAAATTGGTTGAATATAAGTCTGGGGTATGAGCAGACATACTGTGTCTGTCAGGCAAAGAGATAACACTTTCAGATAACCTTACAGAATCGTGAAAAATGTAGACATCCACTGATTGATTATGCTATGTTTACACCTTCCGCAAGACAAAACATTATAGTGATTGGAAACCAAAGATCTTAAATATTGCAAAGATAAAGCAAAACTGGAAAGTACAAATGCCATAAGCGGAGTCCAAGAGATGTTACTAGCCTGGTGTCTTTTAACATTTTTATTACCTAAAACATCAGCTTGTATGTATATGTCGCTAAAATAATTCTAACCATTTCCCACATCTTGGCATGCAACCTCAGTATCTAAGTATTTTCAACTTTCTGGTTCTGTTTAACTCTTCTCCATTTTCATCCAGACATTAACCTTGTGTCAATATGGCCTTCATTCTGAGAGCACCCACCACTCAGTGGTTTCTTGGTTAATCATATTTTCAGAGATAGAAGGGTCTTATGTTCATGAACAGACATTTCTGCAAAGAAGACATCCAAATGGCCAACACACACATGAAAAAGTGCTCAACATCACTCGGCATCAGGGAAATACAAATCAAAACCTCGATGAGACACCACCTCACACCACTCAGAATGGCTAAAATTAACAAGTCAGGAAATGACAGTTGTTGGTGAGGATGACGAGAAAGGAGAACCCTCCTACACTGTTGTTGGGAATGCAAGCTGGTGCAGCCACTCTGGAAACCAGTATGGAGGTTCCTCAAAAAGTTGAAACTAGAGCTACCCCATGACCCAGCAATTGCACTACTGGGTATTTACCCCAGAGATATGAATGCAGTGATCCGAAGGGGCATGCACCCCAATGTTTATAGCAGCCATGTCCACAATAGCCAAACTATGGAAAGAGCCTAGATGTCCATCAACAGATGAATGGATAAAGAAGGTGTGGTATATATATATACAATGGAATATTATGCAGCCATCAAAAAAACCCCAAAATCTTGCCATCTGCAATGACATGGATGGAACTAGAGGGTATTATGCTAAATGAAATAAGTCAATCAGAGAAAGAATTATCATATGATCTCACTGATATGAGGATTTTGAGAAACAAGACAGAGAATCATAGGAGAAGGGAGGGAAAAATGAAACAAGATGAAACCAGAGAGGGAGACAAACCATAAGAGACTCTTCATCTCAGGAAACAAACTGAGGGTTGCTGGAGGGGAGGGGGGTGGGTGGGATGGGTGTCTGGGTGATGGACATTGGGAAGGGTATGTGCTATGGTGAGCGCCGTGAATTGTGTAAGACTGATGAATCACAGACCTGTACCCCTGAAACAAATAATACCTTGTATGTTAGTAAAAAAAAGTAAAATAAAAAAATAAAAGAAAAAGAAAAAAAAAAAGAAGGGTCTTATGTCGAACCCTAGGAAAATGCATGAAAGAAAGGGGAAGAAGGAGAGGGAGGGAGAGAGTAGGGGGAATGTTCGTTGCCTGGGGGGTAGGTTCATCAATACTCAATACTCCTGGCTTTTCCTTTCCTCTGGAATAGAGCAATACATTGCTATTTCTTCTGGAAATCCAGATTTTCCCAAACAATATTCAATAGGCATTCTCAAGGCTATGGAAATTTTCTTCTGCATTCAGGCACAATTAACCTTATTTGCAGGGTCTAACTCATAACAACCCATGTTCATTGCTTTGAGATGAACTCAAAAGCATCAGACCAGATGTACTCTTTGTATTTTTTACCCTAGTAATACATATGAACCTACAGTTTCACTGAGAGGGGGCTAGTCAGATTTTGCTGATCCAACAATTTACATACAAATTCATACCTAAAATTTTAAATATCCTCAATTCCCATATCACTGCCTTTTTCTGAACGTGCTATCATTGATAATCAACCGAGTTCCATTTAGCATTTACTAGCTTACACAGAACCAACAACCATAACCCACTTAATTACTTAGGGGATTAAAAAAAAACACAGACACACACAAAACTGTGATATTGGAATATACAGTATGGTCTAGTTTAAATTAAAAAGATCCCCCAAAGTATGATTGTTTCCAGCTTCTCAGCGGTGAATTAAAAGCTGTTTGGTGTCGTGAAGATTACAGAAGCAATCACATTTATGGGCCTGCTTTGCATACCAACTCTATTAATTTCCATACTCAGTGTGGCTTCACATTTCTACCCATGTTAATATAGATGCTGTTTGGGATAATCGCTTGCAAAAAAAAAAAAGAAAGAAAGAAAAGAAAAGGGAGACACAGAGAGAGAGAAGGAGAAGAAGAGAAGAGATGAGACAAACAGATGAGGGCGGAGAAGAGTCAGAAAAAAATGGTTCTCTTAAAGTTCTCTTTGAAAATATTGATTCTGATAAATAGGAGAATCAAAAGACAAGGGTTCCTGATGGCCTGACCCAGGAATCACACTCAGGGATCAAATTAACATGAAATCACACATTGGAATTCACTTATTGTGACAGTTCTGCACCTTGTCATTGCAGACTCTAATTGCCAAAATGATTCCATTGGTATAATTGGATCAAGATGTTCATGGACTTCACCTTGGGTAGCTCCCTTGATGCTCGGCATTGCATCTTTATTACTGTGTTCCTTTCAACTCTTCAAATGTGTTCTAGCCTCAAAGAACAATCCAATCAAGCAGGCTGGTTTTATTTTGTTTTTCTGGTCTTATTTTCCTTTTCTTTAAACACACCAGCCATAGAGCAAGGAATGAAGGAACGTGGTTAGCGTGGAAGGCAAGCCTGAGACCGTAAGGGCAAATGCACAGTTATCTTCCCTAAAGGGACCTGGGAGCATCTGAACAAATTAAACCACTGTTTTCATATTCTGCATTCCCAAATGTTAAAGAATGGTGTTCAAGAGCTTACAATTAAATGGTTATTTGTCTACCATCAATTTTAGATTCTACTGTGCTAAAACCATGCTTGCTATGCATTTAGCAATGCACTCCATGCCCTCATAAAGATAAAACAATATGATATTGGCATTAAAAATAGGAAGAGATTATAACCACAGATCTGAGGGGAGCATATTTTAATTGGAATTTGGGGGGATATGAGTTTACTCCACAAAATAGCCAGTAGGGGTTTTGAATCTTTCTGAAGACCCTCTTATTAGCCTTCAGAAAAGGAGTTTTGAATTCCTATGACCTAAAATTCCCAGAAGCCAACGTCCCGCTCTCACCATTATTTTCATCTAACACTATGCACAAGGAATCCCAGTAAAACAACAATCCTTGGGAAGGCATTGGTTTTGCTCTTAGGGAACTACCCAGGGGAAATGGATTTAATTTCCTTTGCACAGAGTAGCACTCACATTGGAGGCTGATGGTCTCCTTTTCTGGGACCAGTGAGGAAATGCTCACCAATGATAAAATACTCAAAAGAGATACACAACCACTTTATTCACCTCTCAGCCGACAAGGCTCTAATTCAAGAGCTTCCACCCTGGGTCAAGCAGTGACATAAGAAAAATGATCAGAAAACACTTAGCTCAGGGAATGCCACATCCTGAGACACATTCTTAGACACTGGTGAATTCAAATATGAGAACAGGCCCAAAGAATCATCAAGTGATGTTGCTTACAGTTTAGAATCACCTGGTCCTCGATGAACTGAGCTGGCTGATTGATATGGAACACTTTCTGCTGAAATCCAGGCGCGCAGTCCAAATCTTCTGCAGATGTTAGCAGCAGCACCTGAGAAAAACCAAAGCCATCAATATTTTAACAGCGGCTTATGTGTTTGCCCTACTAACTTCTACCAAATCTGTGACTTTTAGAAATGAGCTGAGGTTTTAATTTCATTTCCCAAATGAAGAGGTAAGTTGATGCTTCTCCTGTGGCTGCCAACAATTCGCTTTGGCAATGAGATTTGGAAAACACGCAAATGGGAACAGCTGCTGTAGTTTCCATCAGGTTGCTGTTAAAGAAATAACTTTGTCAGATTTTTACACCTGCTAAGAATCTCACCATGGTTTCTATGTGTGAAATTACATTACAAAAACAGTCAATTTCATATGATGCCCGAGCTAAAACCAACTTCACTGTCATAGATGAAAAGGAGCAGTGCCATATATAATGAGGAGGAAAACAGAATATTCCATTGGAAATTACTTCCCAAAGGAATTCAGAGCCCACTAGACCTTCACAATCCAATATGGTGGCCACGAGCCACACTCTGCCACCAAGCACGTGAAATGTAGCTGGGCAGAAATTGTCAGTATAAAATATATGTTGGATTTTGAAGACTGAGTCCCAAAAAGAAAAATAATGTAAAATACCTAATTTAATAATTTGTATATGGATTACATGTTGAAACAATAATATTTTACAGACTGGACTAAATAGATATGTTATTAAAGTCAATTTCACCACTTTGTTTTTACTTTTGTTAAGTTTGGCTACTAGGAAAACCTAAACTTTACAATTGCTTCCAAAAGCTCAGCTTTGTCTTTGCAAATCCTTGGAGTGCTTCATCCTGGAGTCAAAAATCTAGGCTATATGTTTTGGAATATAAAAGTATGTGACACACCCTTGGACAAGGGGTAATTTAGTATGGTAAGAAATAGTCAGGGGTTTACTAGGCAAAGACTACAAGCCCTGTAAAGATAGGAGTTACTTCTTTTTCCCCAACTTTGGTACCAAGCACCTACTGCATATATGGACACAGAGAAGACTCTCCATAATACTTAAAATGTAACTGCTAACATTTTTCAGCCTTTACTACATGGCGAGCACTATGCTAAGTTTGTTATATGCATCATCTCCTTTAATCTCTACCACAACCTATGATGTATTTAATATTTTATAGGATACATTTTACAGACAAGGGGCCTCACATCCTAGAGAAGCTAACACATTTGCCCAAGATCGTGCAGCTAGGATGGATGGGGCCAGGATCTGAATCCAGGCTTAAGTGTCCTCTGATTTGGATCATTGTGAGAGCTCCTCCCATACCCCTTAGGCTTTCCATGTCATGGGGCAGGATTTTACATTTTTTTTGCCTGAGTTGTTTCTCTGAAACCTGGGGAAGGCTGTTTTAACAGAGCTTGGTGCCAGCAGAGAGTGTTTGGAAATTCATATTCTCAGCAGCAGCCCTTGACCATAACTGATGAGAATCGGTGCACAAATACCCCAGCTCTCTCACCCCTCAGGAGAGACATCTTGCAGGCAAGGGTTCTGTCTCCCTTTTTCCATGTGGATTTCAACTCCAGGTGCCCACAGTGGCATCTGGCTTGATAACTCACCCTCCATTCACTGCCTCTCCTTCCCTGGCTCATTTTCTCATGTCTTGTTGGTGTTTTCTGACACCAGCCTCCAAATAAAACTACTTGCACTCAAATCCTTGACTGAGTGCCTGCTTCTTGGGAAACCAAATTTTGATACTAGGATGCAAACTCTTAACCACTGTTCACAAGCTGTTGAAGAAAACTCATTATTATCCCCACCAGCAAATTCACAAGAGGGCACAAAAGGTTGGAAACCAGGGACCCAGGGCTTCTCTCTAAATACCAGGCCCCTGAAATGCAGTGAACCCCAAGGAATGAGAGCGAGAATTAATCTTTGGAGGTTCATGGTATGGCTGGACTGAGGAATATCAGAGAAATTGAAATGGGCAAGTCATCACCCTGACCGACATCATCTTTCAAAAATCAAAGGGGTTAGGATATTATAGTTCCCTATCGGAGCAGTTCTGCTTGTGAAACTTTCCCTTGCCTCCAGAGCAGGCTCTGATTAGATTGCTTCCAAGGCAATCATAATGCTGACATCCCAAGGGGCACACACACAGAATGCAGATTCAGGACTCAGAATAATTTGCACGCAATTTTGCAAGCAGAAAATCTGTAACTGGCCAATGCTAATTCAGTTAAACATTAAATGGTCAAAGGTGGCCTTCAGGCACCCTGAGCCTACAATTATACCTTAACCTTCTAATCAGCTAATTCTGCCCTCAACCCCAGACCAGTAAACCAGTCAGCCCCTAGGAACTAAGGAGATGCCATTTCTCTAGCGATCCTGAGCATAAGAATCCAGAACTGGTTGAGAGGTTGGTTGAGTGGAGCCCCTGTTCTGTCCTGATTTCTTGGCAGGCTCTATTCAGGAATCCTCAGGAGTCATAAAGGAAAAATAAACGTTTTCCAACAGCTGACCATCAGGGAGGATGGGAGTGATGAGAGGACTCCCAGAGGCTCAGATTTTATTTGTAAATTCTTGGGTCCCTCTACCCACCAAACTTATAAGAAAAAAGCATGCAGCACTCTCCTGGGCAACTTGTGACTTAGCCAAGGAAGAACTAGTCTGTCCTCCCTGCATTCATTCATTCACTTATTCCCCCAAACTTATTAATCTCCTGGGATTCAGCACTTTGCTAGGTGCTGTTCTGGAGCTTATATAGAAGCATAATAAGCCAGTAATTAGAAGCACAAACTCCAGAGGTTCAAATCTTGGCTCTGTCCTTTACTGACTGATAGCAATGGAAATATGGAGAATAAGACGTGCATTGAGAGGAGATACATGGATTCAGTGGATGGTGCATCTAAAACAACTACAATAGGGGCGCCTGGGTGGCTCAGTCAGTTAAGCATCTAACCCTCCCTGCTAGCTCACTCCAGTGCTCTCTCTCTCTTTCTCAAAAAAAATTAAAAATTTAAAGAAGCCAACAACTAGAATAGTGTCGCACAGGATAAGTGGTCAGCAAGTGTCAACTGTTAATGTGGACTAGAAAAGGTGACAGGCATTAACAAATCATAGTTCAATTAATTAACTAGAATTTTAACTTGAGAGGAAATTGTGTCTTTGAGAGCATGTAAAAGCCAGGGACAAGGAGTTTAACTTCATCTAGGGAGATCAGGGAAAGCAAACCCACAGAAGGGACATTTCTGCTTTGATCTCAAAGATGGCTCAGAATTAGCTGGATAAATGGAAAGGAACATAGACTTGTCTTTTTTGCCAACACACTTTTTGCTTTCACGTAAGTTCCTTTGTGTCTGTCTGGGTTTCATGTAACAGATCTCTGAAATTAGAAAATTGCATTTAAAAAATAATCCAGACTAATTTAAGGCTTCCCAAAAGCTGAGCGTCTGACTGGGCAGTAGTGGTAGAATATATTACTTACCGCTATCGCCCCTTGAATTTTCAGCAGAATTTAAGTAGTATCTGTGCATGAACTTGTCATGGATACCCACTCTCCAATTTCAATCATACTGAGTTTGGTGGAAGAATATGAAGAAGCCTCCCTCATTGGTTTAAAAGCGAGTATTTGGACATTACTCCAAAACTAGGTTAAGCCCCTTCTCCAAAATCATCAGATGTCACTCTTAGAAATATGCCACCGGACATACTTTTCTCCAAACCCTCTTTAGCATTTCCAGAATATATACTACGAACAACATTCTGAATTTATCTTTAATGCCTTAGAAATAATGGCTTTCCTATATGTTTTTTTTGTTCATTTATGCATTAGCTTGCACCTCATAAGGAACAACCAATATACCTTTGAAAGCTCAGCAGTGATCAAATTTTATGATCACTGAAGGATTTCTATTATTTGAAAATTACAATCAGCCTGCTTAGGAAAGCAGATTCATGGTCAGACAAACTATAAGCACAGGACAGAGCCACACTGGTTCTGTATGAATCCCAGTTTATCAGCTGCCATTTGCCAGCTGCAACCTTGGGCAAGTAACCTTCTGTGTCTCAGTTTCCTCAGATGGAAATTGGAACAATAATAGTATCTTAAAGTTACTATGAGGGTTAAACGAGTTAATTGTTGTAAAGAGCCTTATGTCATACCAGGCACATAGTAGTTGCTCAACAAATGTTTGCTATTATTCTTATCATTGTTTCTATATATTATGTTTAAACCAATATACGTGATTCACTGATATTATATTCCCCAGGGTAGACATTGACAAATATCATCAAAATATTCCTTTTTTGCTACTATAAAACTGGTCAGTATATAGACTGTGCTCAGAAATATTCAAAGGGAAACAGCAGGGGCCTGAGTCAGGTAGAAGGTCGGGTGGGGGGGGGTTGCATCTTGGGGTCAGGTGCACAAAGGAAAACATCAGTGCCTGTTGTGAGCTGAGTTGTGCTGCTTTTGCAGGACACCAAGCATCCTTTAAAACAGTAGCTCAGAAATGTATGGGGATTAACATAAGAATTAAAAAAAAAAAAAAAAAACACAGTAGCTCAGAGCTCCATCCTCTATGTAAAAGCCACTGCCCTAAAGGTACACACCGATAGCAAAGCCTTACATCACACTTTTTATACCTGCTTCTTTTTTTAGCTTCCATTTCTTTGTTGCTGTTCCGAGCTTTCTTTTTTAAAAAGAAAGGGTTTATGTTTATCCTGACAGGTAGTGATTCATGAACATAGCCAACTTCGGAATTTGCTTCCAGAAAAATGTTTTTTCTGTCCCAGACTGCAGGTTGCCAACTGGCAGCATATGGGATGGATGTGGCCAGCAGATTTGGTTAGTTTAGCCATAGCAGTCTATCATAAAAGTTAAATTATCATATTATCAAGAGTGTACCTCTCTTGGCTGTCCTTGTCTGCACCATTCCCTGTATTTTTGCTTCTGTTCACTTGACTCAGTTACACGCTTGTCTGGCCCCCGAGGCATCTGAATTTGCAATCCCTACTGTAGACTTTGGAAATAGGCTTTTCAAGGAAAGAACTCTCCTTGTTATGAG